TATTATCAAGGGAGACATAAACATGAGTAGTGTCAAAAGCGTCAGCGCAGAACGACTACATTGCCTCTTGGAGACACTCAAGAGCTGGATGTTTTTATCCTCCTGCTGTGTGACTAAATAAATGCTTGTTTTATGACTGAAATGTAGTTCATAGAATAATGAACATCTGGAGGTCATGTAGGCCAAGCTTCATCTCCTTGGGGATATCAGTGTGAAGATTTTTTTTCCCTTATCTAATTGGAATTTCCCATGTTGCAGCTTGTGACTGTTGTTTGTAGGCGTTCTGCTGTGTACCTCTGAGAAGTCTGGCTTCATCTTTTCTACACCCTCCCTTTAGAGTTCAGCAAGGTAATCTTTCCCTTGCTTTCTCTTTTTAAGGCTGACCTAACCCTGCTCACTCAGCTTCTCCTTGTACTTCATGTGCCCCAACCCCTTTATCACCTTGGTGGTCCTCGGCTGGATCTGCTCTGCTATGTCAATGTATTTCTTGTATAGAGGAGTCCAAAATTCAATACAATACTCCAGCTGAAGTCTTGCAACTGCCAAACAGAAGGGAAGAAACACTCCCTTGACCTGCTGGCCACACACTGCTAATACATTTCTTGCTTATCACCACTCTCATGCTGGGACTCGATTAAGGTATGTGCTACAGATGTCTCAAATGTCTTCAAAAAGACATGCAAAATAATCCTTCTTCCCTTATTCTTACAGCAAAATTAGTGCAATAACTCTCTACAATACAGATTTTCTTATATTACTAACAACTCGAAACAAAAGCCAAGCATTAGTACTCATATAGCTTCATTAAAATGCCATGAAAGTATTCACAGACAAGAAGATTCTAGTGGTTAAATCCTGTGAAGTTAAAACATTAATATATTTATATAAAATCTGGCACTTAATCACTGCCCTTACAGAGAACACTTTTCAAAAACTGAAGCCATAAAGGAGCTGATAATATCCTAGGTTTATGTAATGCTTCTTTTCCTCATTGCCATTTCTTTGCAAGCTTCTCAAACGTGCTCAAACAGGTGATAGATGTTTTCCCTGTCAGCTCTCCTCCCTAACTAAATAATTTACTTTCTAATGTAATAAATGTGGGGTGTATGCTTCCCAGGATGGATGCTTGAATCTAACATTCCATCAGGCAAGCTTTGATTATAGGGTTTTTTTAATTATGAATCTACAAGGCGGACCTGGCACGATACTGTCATGAAACTAGCATATTCGTTATCTTGAGGTGAATCTCAAAAAATACAGTATAAAAATATACAGAATTTATATCTCCTTTTTGTTCAACAGATCATTATTTACTAGTTCTTATTTCCAGATGAAATTGAGGTTAGGTGAGTATTTCCAAATTTGGGTGCCTAAATATAATAGGACATATGTATGATAACATAAAAGGACTAATTTTCTGGAGCGTTCACTGTATGAAACTACTGTTACGGTTAAAGGGATCTGAAAATAAGGAACCTTAAGTAAAGGCTCTGCATGACCAACATTTGGTAGGAAAATACTGGCCCTGAACTTCAGGACATAATATTTCAAACAAATATACCTGTCTCCATCATCAGTGGTAAGTTCTACAGTGTGTTAAAAATTACTACCGTTGATGAAAACAGGACAGATTTTACTCTCTCTATTAAATCCTATGTTGTACATCAAAAGCTGAAATTACAGTAGCAAAATTCAGTACTGTGGTGGGGTAACTATTTTTTTTTTAAATTACCACCAACTGCTAGGCGTACAAGAGATTTACTCCATTACTGTTAAAGAACTACTATAGAATAATAGAAACTCCAGTGTGTGTATGTTGCTTAGAAATACTATGTAATGTATGTGTTACACTTTTACTTGTACAAACAGGTTTTACTGAATATTTAGCAATTTCTGTAACACACCAGGCCGATGAGCATCATCCTCTCTTCAAACTAAAATAGATCTGACATATTTTCTAGCCTGGAGGGGCAATTGTTACCATTGCTCTTCATTACAATTTAAACTCCATATATAACACCACCAATGGAAAAAAGAGAGGCTTTGCCTTACCTTCTTTTATCTTTGCAAGATCTGTAGTTATAAATTGAACCAAAGCTTCTTAAATGACTAAGCACTTTTAATGAAAATTCTATCATGTCTCTACTGTTTTTTAATTTTGGCAGGAAGATGAATGTATTCATATTTTTCAGGCTATTTCTTGCCTCTAAGCTATAAAAGCATCTGTAAGGCATTCTGTGACAAACTAGTCTCTGCTTTGAAGGGATGCTTATTACAAAAGCAAGGAGATTCTTCTGACAGAGAAGAATTTAGAATTTTTGTTTCCCTTTTTATGAGGGAAGAAATACTCATATTTATTTATATTCACGACCATTTAAATTTTATCTGATTGTTCTTCCACCTTGAAAGACTTCTGTTTCAAGCCAGGCAAGCTTTCCTATACAGGTATTTCCAAAGAACCTTAAGGTATGTGTCACGACTCCCCCTGTTCCCTTCCATTTTTTAAAATACAAACAGATTATTTTTGGACTTTTGGTTTGAAATATGTGTTTGAGAGGTAGAAAACTGTTGCTTCAACCATCTGGTATGCTTAATTGCCTTTGCTGAGCACACCACTTCCATAAATACTGAATATAAAATGCACCTGGTATAATGGATAATATCACAAAATAAGATCAGATCATATAGTAAAAATGACTGTACACAGAGAAGGAAAGAGGAGCACATAGTCAGTTTTAAGTGTCAGCTTCCGCAATGGAACTCTGTTCCTGAAATTTGATGTAGAAAATTTTGTCAGATGAGCTGAACATGTATTTACAGTCTGAAGTTCTAGGACTGATTGTCATGCTAATAAAAATACAACCACTAAATATATTAGTGTTAGAACCAAAACAAAGAGGATGATGGGTACAGCAACATGTTCCATTTTTTTTCTTAACTGACATAATGTAATAAATGACTGATGGGCAGTTGCATTCATCTCTTTAGAAATCTGAAGTTCTTTCCATATTTAGCATACTGAAAGATCTAGTCTTTCTTCTTGTTCTAGTGCAAAACTTTTGTTTTATGTATTCTGTGAGAGTAACTTGTAGTGTAGAACCAAGAATGAAGCCTGCATGAGGTGCAGAGCCCTAAATTTTGGGCACCTGAGCGATTAGACAAGTTGACAATCTTAAGACTGCCATTCTTTTTGTATAGGGAGAATTTGGTATCTGTGAAAGACAATATCTGAGTGTAGCTGAGTAGGAAGCTGCTCGGGCAAGCTACATTAGCCAAGAGAAAAATGCAGAGGACAGAAATGGGTGCTTGTGGGTATTTGTCTTGGTATTGGCATTGGTCTCTCCTTCCAGGACTGTTTATGCATTTTGAAGTAGGCAAGCTTGGTTAAAAAACCAACAGAGGTACTGGGAGCCACATCCAGGACTAGGATTTTTCCTCCACCCCTACCCAAAGGCACACTTTATTGCAATGGTATGACCAGCTGCTTCTGGCCCTGTGAATTTTGTATTGTTAGCTTCATGGCTGCACAACTTCTGTGGAAGACCTGAAGACCTCTTCTTCAGTCTCGAGCTAAGGCACTCTCTGGAAAAATGGCTTTGAATCAAACCAAGGAAGACGACTGGCTTCCCAATTGCTTAATATGGTCTCTAACCCCTGAACTATTACATAGAAAGCACAGTGTCCTGCTTTCAGCTGGGACAGAGTTAGTTCTTTTCAGCAGCTAGAAGAGCTCCATGTTTTGTTTTCAGTCTGGGATTCGCTCTGAGAAGAACGCTGACAGCGCACTGATGTTTATAGCTGGCACTGAGGTCTCAAGGACTTTTCAGCTTCCCGTGTTCTGCCAGCGTGCAAGAGCACAACAGGATAGGGGAGAGCATGGCTGGGACAAAGGGTCCACAACTCCCCTTATGATTTGAACTTAGACTTAGGATTGAGGGACAAACTGGCCAATTAGTATTCCATATCACACAGCATCATGTCCAGTATAAAAGTGAGAGTCAGCTGGAAATAAGGGCCTTTTGCTCTTCTGGGACTCTCACTTTCGGACTCTTGGAGTACTCTCTCTCTCTCTCTTGCTCTCTTTTTGGGCCTCTTGCTCGTCCGGGATTGCGGTATCAGGATTTATCTGTTTCGGGATCGTTAGTTCGGGACGAGACGGGCCTCGGTCAAGGGGTGGTGAGCAACTGCACCGTGCATCACTCATTTGTATATATTTTATCATCGTACATATATATATATTCATATATTAGTAGTAGTAGTATTAAATTGTTCTTAGCCCAACCCACAGCTCGCTTTCCCTTTTCCCCTTTAATTCTCTTCTCCATCCCCTGGGGATGGGGGAGGGTGAGCGAGCGGCAGTTTAGTTGCCGATTGCCCTAAACCACAGCACACAGCATAGGTTTTTCTGTTATATGTTTGAACCAAAACAATGAAGTTGAATCTGCTGTCTGATCTTGACATAAGGTTAGGTATGATCTAAATTCAGAAAATGCAAAGAGCCCTCTGGGGACTCAGGCACAGGAAAAAGTAGTTCGTGAACCCAAGTGAAGAAGCTGGTGGTATCCTTAGCTCTACGCAGAAGTGAAACCTAGGCAGTATAAAACTCTCCTAACAAATTTCAGATGTGTGAGCAGTCAGGTAGCCTAGAATACTGTAGACTGTATTGCTGAACTAAGACAACAGTCTTTCACCTGGCCTCACTTGAAGTTCTTAAGTCCTTTTGTGGATCTGTGCCTATATTCACAGACATGGTCATTGGCAAGGAACAGGTCTTCAGAGTGGTGTCTTGGCACTCAAAGCACTGTGATTGTGATAGCTACATAGTCTGCTTTAAAGCAGCATTTAATTTTGGAGATTCACAGTCACGGTGCTTATAAAAATACTATTCTGATCTCTCTCCCTCCTCTCCATTTTCCTCAGAAATCAATAAATATATCATGTTCTCTATTCTGTTATCTGTCATAAGCCGCAAAATAATCTCAAAGCAACACCAGATTTGATATCTGTAAATCTCAAATATTCATTTTCTTTGTCTAGTTAGAAAATTGTTTTGTATACAAGAAACAATCTAACACTGAGGTAAACTTTATGAAGAAATCATAACACTGTTTTAGTATGTTGCAAATACTCCTTTAGAAAAACTTGTACTGACTCATGGAAGATCTTTTGTGGATGACTGGTTCCTCATAAAACTTTGGTAACTAGGTCCCAGCTGGAACATGAGCAGCACTGTGCTCTTCTTCCTGATGATGCAGTATATCAAACAAATCCCCTAGACGCTCCCCATTACAGGCTCAGTATCTGTCTGGTTGTGGTCACGGAGACAAAATTGTGGGAACCAACGTTGTAGATCAGAGTCAGTGTGAAAAAGGATATGTAAATACAGGAAGGATACATAACTAAGAATGTTTGCGAGTGCATAAGTGTCTTAGATTTCACAGCTTAATTCCTATTTAAATTCTTGCATTGTAAGTGGGTGATTTTCTCCATCCGGTACAGTTATAGATCTTCCCTTAAAGGCTTTTTCCTGTGGCAACTGCATACTGAGTCTCTGTCATCAGGCTGAGGTACAAGTTCCATTCCATCCCGTATTTCAGGTTTGCTGGCTTGGCGTTTGGCATATTTCTGAAACACGTAAACAACATTTAAGAACGCTATAAGCACCAACGTATAATTCACGAAACAGAATTTTCCTCCTCCCTTCCACTCACCAGCTTGCCTTTATCCAGCTTATGTCATTGTTTACAGCCTGTTTACAAGGTGTCCTTATAACATATCTACTAATAGGCTACATCGCCTCTGAAAACCTCCTTTAATATTTTTCCCTGTCCTATTGTTAATGGCAATTTGAATATTGTCATTATTTGTGCCTCTAACCACTTTATGTAGATAATGCTGTCATTTTTGTACACTGAACAGTTCCAGACTTTGTGTCAACCTGTGGCTGCTGAAGCGGAGATCTAACTCTGCACAGCAAAACAGGAAAAATAAATTAGTACTTTCAGACAACAGAAACTTCTTTCATAGAGATTTGCATTTCCAAGGGAAGCAATGACTACCTGGCCTGCTTCACCCCTTGTCATCTACTAACCATGCTTCCAGAATTGCTTTTCCATGTATTCATTGTTTCATAATATAGTGGAGTAGCTCACGAGAGGGATAAGTATGAAGGGAAAAAGGAATCTGTACACAACTTCCTTATCTCCTATGTCTATTAGAAACCACATACCAAGTGACACTGAAAACAGGTCTGACTGTGGGTATGGAGGCAAAAAAGAATAATATATCTGATTCTGTAAAACAACTATTATGTCAGGTTGCCTCTTTAATTATGAAGCAAGTTTTAGCAAAGCTCTTCACACTGGTCTCCTGTGAACAACATGAACCATGTCCACTACTGATATAAGTACAGACTGAATATGGAATTTGTAGCATCAGTAGCAGGAGCAGCTGGGGGAAGGTAATAAAGTGATCTCTTGTACTAACCTGGAGCACTTTATAATAGTAGCAGTAAAGCCTGTGAGGCTGAAGTAATTCTCTTGCCAGTAATTGTCCTTCTTTAGCAATCTTTTCTGCTTCTTCATCATTTTCCTGGAAAATTGAGACGAAACGAATGAATATAGCAATCAGTGAGTTACTCAAAGGCTGGCTGGCATTAGAAGTTCTATTAAAGGGGCAATTCAAATCTGCAAATTTATATGCAATTACTGGTAGACTGCAAAGGCACACTTTAAATTGCAGTTTTTTTTAAAGTATTGGATTGCTTTTATGGTTACAACTGGTACCTTAGGGCTATCAATAACAACTTTCATGGATAATTGTACCATATTGAAAACTCAGTTGATTACAGCTCTACACTGTTTTGTCCAAGGCACAAGCCTCTTCAAAATCAGGCCTGACATTTCCCACACATACTTAGTTTTACACAAGACAAAGCCACAGCTGTTGTCCTCTCCTGTGCAATGCAATTCAATGCTTTCCTTTTAAAAATAACTCTGTTTGCATTCATGTACTTACTCTGAAGTTTTTTAGGTCCTTATTTCAAAGCTTTTAGTATTCTCATCTGATTTTCTATGAAGAACTGCAGTCTCTCAGAAGAGAAACTTTTCCTATGTTTTTTAACCTAATAGCTAAGCTTAAAGCACAAGTGGTGTTTTCAGTCACACAACTGTATCAAGTTTGTTTGGTTACAGAATCCCGGCCTCTTATTCTGAGCATGTTACAGAGCAGCAATTTCTTGTACATTCAAACAGAACAGGCAATGACTTCTGTTCTAGTCAGAACCTAAAAAAGTGATAGAATTAATTAAGCAGTATCTAGGATTCTGGGCATTTCTTTGAAAATTACGTGCACTAGTCAGTATACTAAGGATCTGACTCATTAAATACTTCTGCACATCCCTAAAATGAATTCTTGAGTATTTGCCTGAATAGAGATGGTTACCTGAATTTAGGCCTTCCCATCTTATACTAAGAACAAAACATACTTCCTTGATCCCAGGATCTCAATATAGTTCATGCAAAACATGTATTTCACAAAAAGAAGTGTATTAAGATGAATTGTTTACACGTTTGTTTATCACTTTGAACTTGAATTAGTAACGGAACTTACCTTAGCCCATTTTATTTTCTCTAGCAAGTCCTCCAAGTTTCTCTTAACCGGAACATAATGTTTCCATGGTTTTAATCCAGTATAAAAGTGTTCATAGTACTGGGAATCTTGCTTTAATACTAGGCTGTCACCCAGCAAGAGGTATGGAAACCTGTAAGCTGCTACAGTCCCATCTACGTTCACTTGGTATTTGTACTACAATATGAAGACAGAGAAGAAAAAGGTGAAACGTTTTGAATGAGAACACTGACTGTATAAAAGATGATTTTCACAGGTAAGATATAATTGAGTTTATTAATTCTCACCTTCAAACCTGTTCTAGTGTTTAGAAAATGTAGTTTCATGGTGTTCTGGATAACATCATAGAAAAAGGATTTGTTTTCAACCCAAGACTGACAGGCAAGAACCTTTGTGTCACATGAACTGCCTGATGGTTATTCTATTGAAGTGTCCTGAGATAGAGCAAGGGGTAGAGCTAGGAAGGAAATAAAACTAATCTATACCTAAATTCAAAAAGAGGAAATTTATTCTCACTTACATTATGTAGAATAATTTGAAACATCTATTATTAGATGGAATAATCTGAAATATTATACTAAAAGTAACCATGAATACACTGCTCTGTCAGATGCTCTTGGCTGTAACGGCATTTCTGATATATTCATAGAATCATAAAATGGTTTGAGTTGAAAGAGACCTTAAAGATCATCTAGTTCCAACCCCCCTGCCACAGGCAGGGACACCTTCCACTACACCAGGTTGCTCAAAGCCTCATCCAACCTGGCCTTGAACACCTCTAGGGATGGGGCGTCCACAACATCTCTGGGCAACTTGTTCCAGTGCCTCACCACTCTCAGAGGGAAGAATCTCTTCCTTATGTTTGATCTAAATACACTCTCTTTCAGTTTAAAGCCATTGCCCCTTGTCCTATCACTACATGCCCTTTTATTTTCCTTGTAAGAAGCCCCTCATCAGCTTTCTAGCAGACCTCCTTTAAGTACTGGAAGGCTGCTAGAAGGTGTCCCTGGAGCCTTCTCTTCTCCAGGCTGAACAAGCCCAACTCTCTCAGCCTGTGTTCATAGGAGAGGTGCTTCACCTCTGGAACACAACTTCAATTGCCATATATTATGATTGCTTTTTACAGGACTCTGTCCCATTTACTTTTTATACCTCTGTTGCAGTAGAATTTGTGTGCTAAATTGCAACAAAAACACCCATCTATTTTTCAAACTTGTTACTACAAGGACTGCTTCTGACATCCATAACGTACTTGCAATGGACATGAGTTGTGTCCATTGTTTTCATATTTACCCCAATTAAAAAAAAAATAATGATGGTGAGAAATCAAATTTCTCAAGCTATTAAAAAATATAATAATCTTCACGAACTGTCTTTAAAGGACTCCACAAAAAAAGTATAGTGGCTTTCTTTAGAAGTGTGTCACACTATGACTTTTATTACAGGTGGTCTATCTACTCTGCATGAACCAGTGCTCCCAGTAAAGCATAATTGTTTTCTTTACTAAAGGGAATTAGCAAAAATAAGCCTTATCTTTTCAGTTGGTAAGAACTTGACAGCAAAATTAATCCAAGACTGTAATTTTCTTGCTACCTTAAAGAAGTCAAAGAAGCCCATCAGCTGAACCTTTCCCAGTTCTTTTTCTTTTTCTCTGAAGAAGAAATATCCTGTTATTCCTGCATCTAGTAGTTCTGGATTTTCCTTGGATAACTTGACAAGATGGAGACGTTCTTCTCGGCTGTCTCGACCTCTAAATAAGGCTCGCTCAGTTTTGTTCTCCCAGAATGGCCCTATGAGCATTGAGCGATAAGATAAAAGCAAACAGTAATGACATGTTCATGATATGTTCAGTGCAAACATGGAACTTGCTATGACTGTGGCATTACACTCAGAGACATGGTAAAACAGGCATGATTTCTCGTGAATCCATACTCACATATTAATCACAGGGTTTAAACTCCCAGTTCTGGCTTGAATTTTGGGATTAGAAATTGAGCAACTAATAAAAGGAAAAGCAGAGATTTGCTTTTCCACTCAACAATTTTATATCAAAATATCTTGCAGCTATGTACGAGATTATAATCAAATAACGTAAGTAAAATTAAATAATTCTCCATTCATAACGCCTGCCAAAATAACCAAAATTTCTTTAGTAAATTCCACTTCTGTTACCTAGTAATTTCGTTAGGTCTTTGAGGAATGACAATGATGACTTTAAAATGAAAAAAAAAAGGCTATACTGCATCCTTAAGATACTTAGCAAGAGCCTGAAAGACACAATCTCTGCCTACTGCCTGCTTTTAAAAACATTAAATATATGCTTTCTCATCCTTCTGCTGGAAATTTCCTTAAAGGGCCTAAAAAAGTGGAGTAGGCTCTTACCATGTCCTAACTGGAAAAGCAGCTGTACTAAATCAGTAAACAGAATGCTTCAAACTGATAATTTAATCAAAATATTTAATTTTAAAACTAATAAAGGTAAAAGAAACTGTCAACTAGTCAAATAAAAAGAAATACCTCCTCACTCAAGTTTTACTCCTTAGGTATTATACATATCATTTGTCTGATCCCTAAATATTCTTGAAATTTCCTGGGGAGGTTAGACACCTGTCAGTAAAACTGACTCTTCCCTTCAGAGCTAGAAAAACAATTCAGAAGATCTCACTCTGAGGTATATTTTTTTATTCAGACAATATTTTGTTATTTGAAAGAGGCTGCAGCATAGTAAATAGTTTACTTCTTTAAGGATTCAAATTCATTTTTATGTAAACAAAACATTGGGTGACATCACTGCCAGGAAGGATTACTATTTGATTAGAAGGAACATATTCAAGTCCTTCATGGAGGAGAAAGGCCTTTTAATTATACTGACTTTTCTTCTGACAGGTCACAGTAGCTATCTCCTGGATACCTTTAAGTTAAAATTCACCGTTATTGTAAACTGGACTTCTTAAATTTTGGCTCTAAATCCGTATTAAACACCTGCTTAGTAGCAGTGCTGAAACTGTTTAGAATCCATAAAGACGAACCTGCGTGTACTAAGAGCCCTCCTAAGGCACTTGTGGCCTGAAGACTTTAACACATTATTTGAATGCAACTTTCTTCTTTGTCAGGATTTACAAATTCTCACAATCTCTAATTTACCTGTGTTTCCTTGAATAGAAAGGAGATCATTTGTGACACCACGTAGGGTTTCAAGAGTTGAGTGAGTTACATCATACGTCGGAAGGACTATATCTCTTGAATCCACAGAGCCACACCATGAAATGACAGGCATGGGACCAGGTGTATCATTAGCTTTCCGATACTCAACTGGCCAATCTCCAACATTAAGATAAAACTCCACATCAGGAAGACGAACCTAAATATATACCCAAGAAAGGACAGTAACAAAAAGAAGCTGTTTGTCATTCTTACATGTATTCCTCAGTTCTCTTATGATTCCTCAGTTCTCTTATGTCATGCAGAACCAATAAACCTACTAGATGATACAGATTTAGCTGAGCTTAAGATATGAATTTGAAGTTTCTGCCCCGCAAGCAAGTTTGAAAGGAACACTCGCAGAGGACAGGAAAAGGCTCCCAGAGTTGAGCCTTAGCCCCTGCAGCTTTCCTAGCAATTTCATTACCGTCAAGCTCAAAACCCCCACTTTAGTTACAACCTGATCCCTGAAGATATACTGTCATCTTGATGAAAAAACAAAAGTCAAATCTTACTTCAGGAATTATAAATCTGAAGATGCAACAACAAACACAGTATTGCCACATCAGAACGACTTAATAGTCTTAAATGATGGAAAGTGATACCTTTCTCGCTAGTGACAGGAACATTTCATCAGAGAACATTTTGAAGTCTGTATACTTCCCTAAGGAGCGACGGTGGATGCGATTATTGAGAATAGTGTAGTGAACAATAGCACCTCTTGTTTGACTGAACTTTCTTGGGATTTCCTTAAGCATTCGCTGAAGATCAATGGTGGGAAAAGAAATGAAGTCCTTTGTAATCTGAGGTTCTTGGGATGGACAAGACATAACGTTCTGCCAGATCTCAGGGTCTTCTTCAGGACAGTCACAATATTCATGATAAACTGGTCCTGCAGAAAACAAAGCACTGAGCGTTTACATTTGTGATTCTACACCAATAATAATTCCCCCAAACACATGGGCATACAAATCTAGAAATTAGTGTCTTGACATTTTTTATGCCAAGTTTTCTAAAGTTATCCTGGGAAATCATCCTCCCTATAACATTTCTGGGTTTCAGCAGTATAATTGAGAAAACAGCAACATTATTCTCTTTTCAGAAATCAAAATACTAGATTCGTTGTTGTCAGGGTACAATTAATCTGCAAAACGAAGCTCCATTATTGTGCTACCTGCCAACCACGTAGAACATTCAGCATTGTTCTAACTATCCATAACTACCAAATTTCAGGTATTACAGTTTCAGTTTTAGCTTAATTCAGAACTTTGGTACAGCAGTCTTTACCTCTGGCATAAAGTGTTTTCTTTATGTATAATCAACTATTCTTTCTGTCCTTTGAAGCAGAGGGCCTAGGTATGACCAAAAGCCTCATACAGCATTAAAAAAAGGTCCTTACTAGAGGGACTTCAAATCACAGGTTCTGTCCTGTGTCATAGTATCATGGCTGCTGGCAAATGTGCACCAGCAAAAAGAAGGCATGCTACTACCTTAAGGACTCAGGACAGTTTTATTTGAGTCTGAAGACATTTCCAAGTTTGTACTTAAGAATTTATTTTTTTTTAAAAAAAAAAAGGAACAAATTCTGGTTAGAAGAAGTAGTGGTGAACTGAAACAAGATTCTCCAGAAAAGTAACTTTGTATTTTTTTCCTTGCTAAACAGCTATCCATTTGAGAGCAAGAGAAGGAAGTTAAAGAAGCAGATCTGGAATGAGAGAATAATTTGCCTTGTTTTCCCTGCTTTTAAATAGTAGTATAGACCTGCACTGAATAAAACTGGGCTAAAGGAAATAAAATTAAATATTGTCTGGTTAGAGAAATAGTATCTTTCTTGTTATGAAGGATCACACTTTTTAGAAATGACACAGACATTTAAATTATGAAGTATTGGGAACAAGACAAACTCCTTCCTTTCACAGGTATTGTTTTGTACTTTAGACAGTAACGTAATGTTGAAGTGAATACCCACTTGAAAACAGTAAAAATACAAGCATTGCTCTCTTACTCCCTACCAAATCTGAAGAGATCCGTTTCATTATGCAAAAGAGGGAGGAGGTGTCCAGACACAGAACCTTAATGTCAGAGGCCATAACCTACATGCTTATGCATCTAGGTCCTGTAACTTGGCAACGTATAGAGATTGCCACTGCTTCCTTCTCTGTATAGGAGAACATTTGTGATGAGGCTACATGAACAAGGGCGAACAAACCTCTGATTTCCCATCTCTTCCTCTAGCATTAGATTAGTCCATAGCATTTCTGTAGCTACCATCATACACTACATTAAATCAAAAAAACCCATACCTTTTAAAATATAAGGAGATTGAGCTACATGCTGATCACCATAAAGTATCTCAATTTTTAACCCTTTTCTGACACTCCCATACATCCGATACCGCATAAGAAATGTGCCATCATTTCTGTCCAAAGGGTGCGGGGTGTAAATTCTGGGGACCTCTTTTGGAGAAAGTGCTTTAATTACCACTTTAAACTGTGTTCTTCCTGAAAAGAGGGAAATAAAAACAGATAAAAGCACTTTAAGCTATTAGAACCACATACATGAAATAAAGACGAGAGCAAACTCTACTGGATTAAGTCCCTGGAATTTAATTTAACTTTACACTGGAAATTTTTTTATTATACCAAGTTGATAAAATTAATTTCCAGTGATGGAAGATCATCCTACCAAATTTTCTTGAGCATGACATACCTGATAGATGGAAAACTTGTAGATGGAGATAAAAAGTTAAATAATGATAGAAGGAAAGGCTAGCAGTATTTTGAAGCCAAGATTAGATTTAATATTGTTTTCAAGTTAGTGCTCTGAGGAACAATCATTTCCTCTAGAGTAAGAAAGATAGGAAACCAAGTTAAAATAACAGGAGAAAAGAATACTTGCCAGCTTGTGGAAAGGCAGCATGCAGGAGTCAGATACAAATTGTTCACCTTTGGGCTGCAGCTGACTGTCGTGCAAATTTAAAGTCCCAACTACTGAAAAGCAGGGATAAGAAAATGATAGCAAAGATGTTTCCCGGACATCTGTCTGACCTGTGCTTAAAGATCACCAGCATTTCATCATTAATGCACTGTGACTTTTTAACTGGGCATGGAATATTTTGTGGACGTTAACTACGCATAAACATAAATCTGTTATATTCCCTTATTTCCATCACAAATGGTCATCGTCAACTTCATTCTTCAAAAAATAGGACAGATTATTCACAAAACATTATAGTCTAAGCATTGCAAACCAAACCAATGTGATGAATGTTGCCACAAAGTAGTACACAGAAAGAAACTGAAAAAAATGCAGTTAAAATCTGAATGTGTCCCAGCAGCACTACATGATTGAGCTGTTACAGTTATTTCTACACCATCCATATTTTAACATATTTTACATCCACAAATAGAACAGCGACAATGCATTGATGTGGTAAGTACAACAGTTGTTTCACGATCAATCATGTCTTCCTTAGAGCACTGGATCTTGAAATTGGATTCAAGTCAACTACAGTGCAAAAGTCTCCAGATTAAATTAGGCAGAATCCTTGTGATTTCAGAAGTGTATTTCCTGACATGTCATGCCTCTTCACGGAGAGAACAGTTACCCTGAGTAACTCAGATTCTTCCAGATATTGTTGTTGGAGTCGACCCCTCAATCAATAAGCATACGGTCAGTGTCTGTGAGCAGAAGAATCTCTCATGGCTTAACACAATCTCCCTCTTCTGCTTTGTGTTCCCATGTGAGAATATAAAACGTGGATTATTTGTAATCGCTCCTCAGTTTTCTTACTATTCAAAGTCCACACTAGGTAAAGATGCCAAGAAGCAAGTCAGAATACCTTCATTTGACAACACACTGAGGAAATAAAATGAAGCAAGCATTCATTCCTTCTTGGAATGCCACTTTGGCAAGCAGCTCTCCCACCAACTAAGAAATGTAGAACATTGTCTTTGGTAGCTAGCGCATCTATCGTGAGAAGCCCTCATTTGACTATCAGTCCAGAATGATTTCCAGAAGTGCACTTCTGAGAAGTAAAGGAATGTTAAGGTTGCCCTGGATATATGGTACTTCCTTTTCACAGGAATGATGAGCGGACACCTCCCTGCTTGCTTAGGTGGTAGGCTGAAGACACCTTAGCAGTACAGTTACGCAGTGTGACATTTCCTTGGGCAAGCAGAAGTATAACTCAAGCAATGCTAACAGACTTAAATTCCAGAACCATTTCTACGAATACTGTATTGGTTTAGATCTAAGATTGTCACGGCTTGGGATCTCTACAGCTTGCATCTATGTGAGTAGAATAGATTCAGATTGGTTCCCAATTTGGGAACTCCTCAACTTGTTTTGGCGTATCTGCAAGCAGAGTAATCATCAGAGAAGAGGTAGAAAAGTATAGTTTTGATCCCTTCATGTATTTTTGACATCTGGCTACTTACTACCTTTCAAGATGGCATAAAGTAGAAATACAATGATAATGTAAGAATGGCCTGTAATGTGATCACAGGCCATAAATTCACCTTTAAACCAAAGATCCATTTAGTATCTTGCCCTTTACTGTCACCAGCAGAGATGTGCAAGATAGTAAGAAGAAAGAAATTACAGAGGAATACTTCTGAACTTACTGTCTTCCCCTTCTAGAAATCTGCAAGAAAAGGACTTGAAAAATCACAACTTGTATGCACATAATTTCAATAGCCTTCAGTGAAGGTTTTCCATGACTGCTCAATCCTCATTTAAACATTGTGGTACTTGTTGCATCAAAAGCATCCTAAGGCAGTTCTTTTTCCAAAATGTGATTACATATTAGAGAGATGATGTTTGTTTTAAAACTTATGTCTGATAATATAAGATTATAGGCACCAAAGGAAGTTCTGGGAAACAATGAATTTTAGTTCTCATTTTGTTTTCTCCTCCTTGAATTAGCCTGAATCCTGTAGCCAGTTTCAAAACTGTCCATGAGTCAGGTATCCAGAACTATGCAGAATGTAGTCAGGTTCTTTCTGAATATATCCTTCAGCTCTTCTTTGCTCTGTGCAAGATTACACTGTGCCACGCAACACCTGATAACATAAACATAATGGAGAAACACAGAATAACAAGAATCACAGAACTGTTGAGTTTGGAAGTGACCTTGAGATCATCCAGCCCAGCCCTCTGCTCAAGTCAGCTATAGCAGGCTGTCCAGGAGGACTGAGTCCTGTTGAGCTTTGAATACCTCCACAAATGGTGATTTCACAGTCTCTCTGGGTAATCTGTTCTGGTGTTTGACCACCTTCACAGTAAAAAAAAAAAAAAAAAGTTTTCCTGTGTTCAGATTGAATTTCATGTGACTTCTTCCAGTCTTCAGGAACCTCTCCCATTTGCTGTGATCTTTCAAAGATGATCAAAAGTGGCCTGGCAAATGACATCAGCCAGCTCCCTGAGCACTTGTGGGTGCATGCCATCAGGCCCCACAGACTTAGGTACGTCCAGATATTGAAGTGTTCCCTAACCCGATCCTCCTCTATCAAGGGCAAGTCTTCCTTGTGCCAGTCTTTCCCTCTGGTCTCAGAGGCCTGGAATTCCTGAAGGCTGACCTTACCAGTAAAGACTAAGGCAAAGAAGGCATTTGAGTACCTTAACATATTGTGTTTTTTCTCACCAGGTCCCATGCCCCATTCAGCAGCAGGCTCATGTTTTCCATAGACTCCTGTTGTTGTTAATGTACTTGTAGAATCCTTTCTTGTTGCCCTTCACATCCCTCACCAGATTCAACTCCAGATCAGCTTTGGCTTTCCTCACCCTATCCCTGCACAATCAGACAGCATCCCTGTATTCCTCCTGGGCCACCTGCCCCTGGTTCCATCTCTTCTATGCTTCCTTCTGCCTGTGTTTACTCAGAAGCTCCTTGTTGATCCCTACAGGCCTCCTGCCATCTTTGATTTCCTGCTGGTAGGGATGGACCATTCTTGAGTTAGGAAAGGCAATCCTTGAATATCAGGCAGCTGAGAAGGCAACAGGGAAAGAATTCCTCTTCAGAAGAAAAGGACTTCTAATTTTTGTTCTTCACAATGATTCTGATGGAATTAGACTTCTCTTGGACTTGGAGTACAGAAAAAATTAATAAGTGCCAACTAAGATGACACTGCAAATGCTTGAACTTCTGTGGTTAAGACTTGGGAACAGTATTTTTAAATGAGAAGGACAACGTACCCAGGTCTAAGACAGCTGTGATAGCAATTTATTCATTTCCTTTTGTGTGATCCATATTTTTATGACCAAAGTACCTGCCTTTCACTTTACCACAATGAAGAGACTTCAGAGACTCTGAAGACTCTGAATCTAGTGCAAACACACACACTAAGACTGTGGTAAGTCTTTTGACAGGCTTGAGGAGAAAGCATCAGGGAGTTGGTTTCCTCATGAATGGTCTTCTGCATGAAGACGGTGTGGAGCTCTAGGCCAAATAAGAGAAAAGACGCATTTCTCCAGAGGCGAGTAACAATTTCTGTTCCTCATTCAACTAAATACTGCCAGAGGTACTAATGCAGGAGTGAGTTCCCTCCTTTTGAATTTGGCAATGGATTCCATAAATGTCTCTCCTGAAGGAATGGACATCTCTGCCTCTAAATGTTACTGCTGGTCACAACCACTTTTTTCAACTTGCTTAAAAGCAGTTGACTTAGGCCAAGTATCCTCGTGCTATGACTGCCACCTAGTATTATTTGGGTGAAGAAGCCTTGAAATCCAGAGCATGTGATGAGGTAGAACCACAGAGAAAATAGTTTCTGTTGGTATTACGTCTTTGACTCTTTCTGCTCATGGTATAAAACAACATTCTAACTGGGTATAGAGATTTCCTACCAGAGAAAACAAAGTTTTCATTTGTCATAAAAATGAGTGAATACTGAAAAATCAGAAGTCAAATACCACTGAATTTGATCTCCTTGTCCTCACCTACAGGAAATAACTAAGAGGGTCTTTGTTCCCAGCTGGTTACGTACTTACCACTCTAGAGACACGAGGAGGTCTGGATCTACCCGAAGGGTAGTCTTAGTTGGTGGCAGTTTAGATGCAGGAAGCATTTGACAAGAGAAGAGTGACCTGATAACAAAGTTCTCCTGGGAAAAGCTAACCCCACGGACAGGGAGGGGGAAGAAAAGGGAGACTGAATATTTAATGTAAGTACAAATTATTCACTGGAGGCAAGAGGATTTTTATGATTTACAACATTTGTTGCATAATGAGGCCAAGGCCTCTAAGCACTACCGCAGTATTTAATTAAAACAGCTTTTTGCTGATTTCTTTTTTTCAATTGGAGGAAGGTTACCATGGTACTTTCCCTCACATTTTTCTGTTTCTCTCAATCCAAAGAAATGATAAAAGAAAAATGTGTCCCTGTTGAATCGTCACCACTGGTACTTTCATGTTACTCTGAAAACCTGTCTGGGACACATTTTAAGTACAAAACAATTTTCCAGTCCTGAAGAAAGTCTAAAATACAGACATAGTCAAAACGGGATACTTTAAGAAATCCAGATGATGAAACTTGCTTTATGCATATTTTTTTTCTCTTGTGTAGCTTGCAAAAGCGATGTTCCATGCATGGATGAACGAGTGAAGAAATGAAAGGATGAAAAGTGAGAAAAGGTAACAAGGTACTGATTTATGCAAATTGTTAGAGAAGAACAAAAAGCCTAGTTACCCTATTTCTGACATGGATGCAGAAGAGCTCTGAAAAGAAGTAGTTTTTCCTCAACTGTTTTCAATATCCTCACTGAGATCAGTGCTGGTTACTTTCACAGATGGAAATTGTGAAATCAAGAGTCAATAAAGAGGCAGCTGAACAACACAGGTTCACTTAGCAAAACGGGCTCCTTTGGATAGTGTATACTCTGAGTCGGATGCGAGGGCGTATATCCAGGAACAAAGAAATACCAGTCGTGGTAACAAGTTGTGTGTGACCAGCACAAAAGGCATCGTGGTCAACAAGAGACCTGAAGGGAGGTCCTGCAGTGCTGCGGGTACCACGGCAAACTGTTTAGCTACATGCAAATGAGCACGGGAAGAAGCATGCCACTTCTCTCTGAAAGTATTTAGTAAAGGCTGCAATACCTGGGAGGCCTTGGAAATATTCATTAGCAGAATATGTAGATCATCTGAAGAACAGTTAACAACTGATTTTGTCATGGTCAATTGTACATAAAGACATGGTGGGCAGTTGTTAAACCTAGGGGAAAACCTACCAGAAAGGAAGGATAAGGTGATCCAAGTATCCAAAGAAAAATACCTGTGGTTTATATTAAAAGTAAGTTCTGTATTTTCAGCAGTAATTTTTTAATCTTTAGAATAATTTTTCTAGGGAAAGAGTGAATTCCACGTCATTTGACATCTTCCTAAAAAGACGGGTCAAAGAGTTACGGCCTGTAAGTTGATATTACTGTGTGATGTGCAATGGTGCACACTAATTCTGGAGATTAGACTTGACACTCAGAAAACTCATCTGGATTTAAAATCTACAAATTATCCTATATAAGTTTCATATTGGATAGCAGTTAAGTACTGACCTACTTGACTGAAATTCTAATCCACACAAAACACAATTTAATAGATTTGGACAAATTCTACAAATGGGAAGCCTTAACTGCAACTCTCCTGCTTTGGTCACAGTATTCTTGTTTGTGCGATGGAGGTGACAATGCAGATTTATTTTAGCTATCCCAGCAGGGATATTTTGGGATGTATTTAGTGTATATTGGAAAGCAGTGCCTTTATAATATTATTAATTGTAATTCTTACTGGCATTTTACAACTAGAATTTGAACATTTAAAATCATTTGAGAGCTGAAATGCATAGCTCATGTCTCTATAAGTACATTAAACAGTGCTCATGCACTGGAACATGATCAACTGTACCGCTACATTGTTAAACGATCCTTGGCACTCTCCTAAATCACTCTTGGCGTGGCTCAGGAGTTAGCATGGGCAGAGCCAACAGCTCTTCCCTGTCGGCAGCACGCAGGCACCGCCTTGGATTGGAGACTACAGAATGTCTTGGTATGAATGGAGAGCACTCCGTGCCAGACGGCATCAGGACCTGGAAACATTCCAAAGACATTGAATTTATTAATATAAATACTAACACATACTAACACACAAACACGCTGAGGCCAAAATTAGGTTCTCAGTACCCATGTCCCATCAGTTGATCTTGGAGGGTTTAAACTTGCATGAGAATCCAATTGAGCTTCACACCTTTTTACCTTTAGCAACCTCTTGTCTGAAGGCAAGGCTCTCTCTACGCAGCTGAAATCAGCCTCCGCTGATTCTTCAGTGCCATTGCAAAACTGCCCTGCAATCCAGCACCAAGTTGCAACAGCAGCTGGAGACAGTCCAAACCTGAAGTACCTGAGGTTCTGTCAGACTGAAGACATAACCTGTACAACATATATCTATTCTGTTAACTTTGCAACCAGCAGCTTGCTAACTACACGACACAAAGAGGCCGTGCGTACTTGGTAGATATCCTCTCGGAACCATCTATATGAATAGTAGATAACACAGAGCAAAATAACTACCTCTACCCTGTATAAATTAGCAACATGGGATTTCCACAGGGTGTCTGTCTCAGGGTTATCTTCGTTGTGAAATCCGCGATGCAAACGCTATCTTTATTTTGAATTAAAACGATGAATGTAAAGCGCGTGGAATTAACTTGCAGCAGAGAAGAGCTGACTGGCAGCGCACTGCCAGAACACAGCCCAGATCCCACCCTCGGGAGAAGTGCCATGGGACGGTTTGTGCTTGTGCTGCGTGAACAAGAGATGAAAATTACTGCTCCTTAACGGAGCAGCAGTAGGATAACGGAGCCCAGAGCACCGTGCTTGCCGAGGCAGAAATTTGAAGCAACTGGTGTGTGTGCAAGCGTTCAAGATAATTACGTTAGCACTTCTGAGCGGGTACTGGGAGTTTACAGCCACCAGCCCCAGGAGCACCGTTTCATTTTGAGCTCGCCGGTTTGTTGTTGTAAACCACACGCTGTTTAGAGGAGGCTATGGGTGAGACGCGGAGCTCTACGGAAGGAGGCACCCAGCTGCTCCAGAAGAAAGGAGGCGTTTGATCATGTGCTCTGCTCCCCAACCGGACCTGTGTGTCCCGGGCGATGCGGGACGGGCGGGATGCTGAGAGAAGCCGGGG